CTGATATCAGCTATGCGGTCCATATTCTCAAATAATTCATGCATGGGCCAAAACAATCACACATGGATGCAACAATGAAGGTACTCAAATACTTAAAAGAATGTATTGGCTTGGGACTTCTTTTGCCTTGAGATGGAAACTTAAACGTCACAGCATATTGTGACTTTGATTCGGCCACATCTCCCATGACAAGGAAATCTCTCACCGGATTATGTATAAAACTCGGAGGTGCACTAATCTCCTGGAAGACAAAGAAACAATCAACAGTATCTCTCTCATCAGCAGAGGTTGAATACAGAGCAATGGCTAAGATGACATGTGAGATCATCTGGATCCTCGGGTTACTAGGAGATTTGGACGTATATAAAAAGACACCTGTTCATTTATACTGCGATAACAAAGCTACAAATGATATTGCAGCCAATTCAATATTCCATAAAGAACAAAGCACATAAAGATTGATTGTCACTTCCAAGCACATAAAGATTGATTGTCACTTCCAAGCACATAAATTCAAGAAGTTATAATCAAGACTCTACATATCCGCACTTCAGAACAACCAGCGAATGTCTTCACAAAACCATTGTGCAGCAGACATCACTCTTATCTTCTTCACAAGCTTGGAGTTTATGACATTTACTAACCACAAGCTTGAGAGGGAGTGATGGAATGTGATTATTACAAAGTGTTGTGATCCAGGCTTAATTAAAGGTGAAACTATTCTAGCTTGATTCATGGCTTGAGTCATGGAATTACAGTTACAGATTTCATGTAATTACATTGATTATATTTCCATATTTTACATTTTTAATCTTGTATAAATTGAACACATTACAATACTGAAATATACAGAAAATAAATATTCTTTCATCTTCTATCCTCTTATCTTCTGGACACTCTGTCATCTTTATTCCTCGACCTCTTTTGCCTCTTTTCTTGCCATACTCTGACAAAACTTATTATTTTATACCACTTTTTGTCTATAGAACTGGGAAGCAAATTACATTACTGCTTCTTCCAATGGGTACTACAATTCGTCGTCTTGCCATATTATATTTTAGATGACGTGCCGTGTTGTAGCACTAATGCAAACGATATTTCAACTACCAATTTTAGAGGCAGGTGGACCTGTTGTTCAATTCTTTGAGAGAGAGAAAAGGGTGGCTTTGGGATGTCAGATTATATTCTGAACCCAAAATTGTTGAACATTACACTATCCTAAACATATTTCTATCACAAATCACATGCTATCAAAGCCCATCTCTGTGTCTCTGACGCAGGCCCTTGATTCTTGTTTTATTATATGTAGTTCAGTCACTGTCTGGCACTTATCCAGTTCTTCTCTAATTGTTTTTCATGATTTTTCATTTTTGGAGATCTGTCAGTTCTACTTAGCCATATAAGCTGGATCTTCCAAGCAAATTCCTCAATGAATGATGAAACAATGTCTGACATTAACTCATATGGCCTTGATATTGGTTTTGCACATCGCTGCAGAAGATGATAAAACTGATATCATGTTTGCATGAACTTGAGCGCACCATATATTGGGAATCTAGCACAGTAGAAAAGAGAAAAGCAGCGTTTGACAAATGTTGATAATATATATATATATAACTTTTTAAGTTCTTCTTGTAATGATTATTCTTTTTCCTATGTTCATCAAACAGTAAAAAAGATCTTTCACGAATAGAATTCGATAAATTCTCACCACCCGTCCCCCATGCCCATGCCCTTATTTCAATTCGTGGCTACATGTATCCTTTCATTGTTCACTGTTGACCTTAATTCTTTGCAATTTTGGGTTTTGGGGGAACAGGAATAGATAAGAATAAGATTTTATCTTTTTGTATTTTAGTCTTTGATGCAACAATATTACTCTTCTGTAGCTTCGTCAAGCTCACATCATATGAGCTAATCAATATCATAATCTTAACAATAAAGTTGTCGCAGTTCTATTTGTTGATGAATGGAAAATGGAAGGTTTTGGTTTCATTTCATCAGATTCCCACTTGATTGAGTAAAATATTGTTCGTGCATTAACAGCACAAGGAAAATGATTAGAAACTAACATTTCATACATATAAATAATCTTCTCTCAGATTAAGTAAGCTAAACACTAAATTAGTCAGCTTGACCTAGTAATTAAATACCAAATTATATGGTGCTTAATTTGTATGTTATGTTATGTGATGTGATGCGATCATGCGAGAGAAAGACTTTCTCTCCCACATGGGTAAGATAATGAACGTATTTATTCTTTCTCAATATTCATTAATGACTTCATCCACTATGTTAGTTGCATAAGACATTACGTAACTATTACTAATTACTTGAATTTAATTAATCTGAGAGATCATAAATAATATCGTGTCAAGATTTCATGTCGTACCCAAAAAAAGTACTACAGATAGATTAAAAAGGAGTGGAGGAAACAAATCTAACCGTCAACATCAATCAGAAACCAAAAATCCAACGGTGCAACTTGAAGAACAAAGAGAAGCGGAAACACGGAGCCGCTCGTGCCCAGAGTTTGGAAGATATTCCCTCGATCCACGCCCACATCGTACACCCTAAAACCCCACCGTCAAAAAATAAACTTAACTCAACCACAGTTACTTTAACTCAACCATTAATTAACCATTTTAAATTTGTTCTCTTCTTATAGAACTCTCCAACTCTTTTAACTCTGGTACTCACTCTCTCTTCACTACTTTTCTGGGTTTTAGACTTCTAAAACTAAATTACTTCTACTGTAAGAAATCTGAAACAAAATTTTGGTCTATAAATCGGACGGTGGTGATTAAGGGTGAGAAATCATGAGCTGCAACGGGTGCAGAGTTCTGCGAAAGGGGTGCAGTGAGACATGCATATTGAGATCATGCTTGCAGTGGATGGACTCTCCCGAAGCCCAAGGCAACGCCACCTTGTTTCTCGCTAAGTTTTTTGGCCGCAGCGATCTATTATCCTTCATCGCTGCTGTTCCTGAAACTCAAAGACCAGGTTATACATATTTACATATAAAGATACTTTATTTTTGCTTTATATATGTATAACTCCTTTTTTAACTGCTTTTTTTTCTTTTCAGCTTTGTTTCAGTCTTTATTGTTTGAAGCGTGTGGGAGAACAATTAATCCGGTGGACGGAGCGGTGGGTTTACTGTCAAGTGGTAACTGGCACTTGTGCCAGGCGGCGGTGGAGACGGTGCTAGCTGGAGGAACTCTGAGACCGATATCGGGACATAATGGAGTTTTGAAGGCAAACTGTACCGATGAATCTTCCGGAAGTTATTATGTGGATGGCTTCATGATGAAGAGCCTCCACCCCCAATCAAGGCCGTTGATTATACATGATCGAAGGGAACAGAACCGGAAGTCTGATCTTGATCTGTCTCTGAAACCCAAGTTTGGTAGCAGCGGGGTGAAACGTGGCAGAGGAAGGGGTTGTCAGAGAGCACATGCGATGTCGTTTTACTCAGAAGAATCGGAGATGACTAGTCTTCAGAGTGAAGTAACAGAAAAAGAAGAAAGGAAGCTTTTGAATCTGTTTGTTTGAATTACAATAGAAATGATCATGAGATTGCAAGAGAGTTATTATGTTTAAAAAATGACGGCTTTTGTAGAAGTATCAAGAGGAGATTAAATAAAATAATAAATGGAAAAAGCTTGTAATTTTGGTTGGTTACTCCGGCGAATGAATGGAATTTTCCGGTGAGTTTTGTTTTTGAAGTTAACGTATGCTTGGTGTTTAGTGATAAAAAAAGTGACGTGTTAAGTTGTCTGTTTGATTGTAAGCAGCGTTGTCAGCTTCCATGGATTTGTCAGGACCGTACATTTCCAATGGAGGACTTAGAAGCGTCTGATAATATAATGGAGTCGTTTGATCAAGGGATGTCTCCATTGCTTGACACGTTCTAATTAACAACGCGATTTTGCCAAAGAACAAAGAAAATATCATGTGTATTGTACTGCATATAATAAATTAAATAAATGTTTAATTGTGCTAAAAATAGATAAAGATAGAGATTGGATAATTAAATAAAGGTAATGTGTTATTTGTATAAACCTGATACAAAGACAGTTTATCGTGACACATCAAGTGAGTGTCACGTGACATCAAGTGAGTGTCACGTGATATAAAAACTTATATGACATTAATATGATATTAAGTTATATGATCTTTAATGTCACGTGCCATATCATATCAAGTCAGCTTGTGCAAACATAAAGAGAGTTTGTACAAACATTACCATTAAATAAATGGTGAAGGAAGTTGATGATTTGGAGATGGGAATGGTGTGATGCAAATGGATGAAAAATTAGATTAGAGGGAGCATCTGGAGCTAGGAGAATTAGAGGTGGAGAGTGGGCCCTAGAATGGTGCGGTGCACGTCAGCCTCCTGCTTGGACCATAGTCCTCCTCCATTGGAAGTGGGTTCCACGGCATCAACACCTTGTTTTTTATCTTCTTTTTTTTTTTTTTTTATAAAACAAAAGCAAAGTCTTATTCCAAATCCAATCCATTCGCTTCACCTAGCTTCGCCTCGCCGCGTCTACAAGCATATGCTGTGGATCCCACTACACCTTCAATAAAATACCTTATTCCCACGCAAGCAAAATCCAAAAGTAACAAACAAATTCATTCTCTCTGCACGCTTCCTGCCAACTCTTACAATATCAATATCAATACCATAGACATAGTTGATTGTTAAGGTTCGAGGGAGTCAGTGAAAGTCAATGATCTCTAACTAAATTATAATCAGTTTTAAGAATTCAAGTTTGAAGATTTGTCTGGAAAAATCCTGGTAGAAAACGTAGAGATCGGAGAAAAAATGTATTATAAAAAATACCCAGAACTTGTTATTTCTTATTTGGATTACCTCAGCCTTCAGGCTTCCATTAATTAATTTTTCATACGCATTAAAAAATGATATCATAGTGGCAGAAGACTCTGATTTTTATAAAAGAAAAAAAAAAATCCCACATTATACATACACGATATAACACAAACAAACTTGATAAAACCATTGAATAATAGAAAATTAGCAGACATCATTACACATATTTACATTATACTTTCCTCTGGCCTATAGAAAAAGTAAAATGTATACAACCTAATTTGACTATGAGAAAGACCGCAACCTATGCAAACAGAAATAGACCTAATACAGTTAACCCTTGACGTATGAGAACAAAGGCCAAATAAGCACTCTTCTGCTTTTTAAAAGCCACAACAATGATTCAATCCCTTATTAGGTGCGGCTCCATAATTCCAAGAAGAAATGGGATTTTTTTAAGTCACGTTAGTATTAGGGATAGACAGTGAAATGATGTAAACTTTACACTTTCGTTGTCAGGCTTGAAGGTATACGTTCCAGTTGTAAAATTTGTGTTCTCACACTACATTCCTTCACCTGGTAATTGAAACATTTTTTTCAGATAAACAAGGATTTCAAGATCTCTTAACTCAAAGCAGCTACCCTATCAATGAAAATTCTAATACTGATCCACTCTTGTAACTCCTTTCAAATAATAAATCAAATAAAAAAATTACCTGCATGGCCGCAATTGCTGACAAGAGATCTTTGCAGTGACAAAGTAAAACATGTTCTTTTGCACTTACATGGGCAAGTTCAGCCACTAAGGAATTAACTTCCCCAGCCTATCAATGAAAAATAAATTTGGGCGTCAGATAGAACCCTTTAAGAATGACAAAGCGTGCAATAATATTTGAGATACATGATGATTGACTTAACACTTGTCTGCCAATATATCAGCCACAAAGTAAGATGCAAATTGCAGACCAAAAAAAAAAAAAGTATGCCTGGCTATTATACACAACAGTAGGTTAGCATGTGGTGCATAAGCTTGATCCAATCTGATTTGACAGGTAGTAAGAGAACCATTTTTCTCGTTTGAAATTACAAAGAGGGTGGAAAATAGGTTAGCAGGCATGTGTCTTGAAGACCATTGGATGGGATACTCTTACCACTTCTCCTCAGCCCATCCAATGGTCCTCAACAGGCCGGTATGTTACCAACTCCAGTAACAAAACGAATCCTACTGACATAAAGATAATTGTCAATTGGAGGCATGATATAATCCAAGTCATGATATTCTACAACAAAGTATATTTAATTTCTCTCTATTTTCTCTGGCCAAACTCTTCCCAAACACCTTCACAACAACCTTAAGTCTAGACAAACAAGTCTTTAGAAGAACCATTTTTCACACGAATTCCATTTCGAATGAACAACAAGGCTACCATGAATTTTCACTTAACTTCCAACCTTGCAACTTCCAAGATCAAAAGCCCATCTTTCAATCATTTTTACATAAAACTTATGGACAGGAATGAAAATTCCCACAAATCTTAAGAGGTTCAGTTGTTTATAGTTCTTTTTCTTTCCTTTTTTTCTTTTTAATGGGATTTTCTCCAGAACTACAATTGAGTTGTTGTGGAAAAAAAAAAAAAAAAAAAAAAAGACAATTCTCATTTGTTTGTATTTAAAAAGGAGAGTTGTCAAAGTTGTTAATTTCTTGGGTTGGAAAGGTTTCTATGTGAATTTGGGATTAGTTATGTAGAGTATGAATGGGTATTTTTAGTTGCAAAGAATGTGAACAAGGTTATTTTCTTGCAGAGTGAGAAGTTGTTGAAGGCAAGGGCAATTTCCTTATCAAATATGAAAGAATGGGTTTCGTTTTAATGAATTACATTGACAAATGATAGTACACATGTCCATAAAAAAACATAGCGAGTGACAGTGCGACTGCTCCTCGCATGGCTCTTGTCGGTAGATATACACCTGGTTTTCCCCTTTTTTAGCTACTGTTATCTAATATAAGGATATGGTTAACAGTGCTTGTTGACTGCATCCCATGGTTTAAAATGGCCAAATACTTTACTGGGCTAATAACAAAGATTTATCCCTAATTAAATTCTTAAATGAGAATCCAAGAAGATTTAAACAGGATATATTCATGCTCTCAAATATGAGAAGCATATTACCCCACAGCTGAAAATCTTGTTGCTCCCTCAATTAATGGCATAAACCACCATATGTTATATATATATTCAAAAATTAGATCCCAGGAGAAGAGCAAGTTCAAAATTATTTCAATCAATCAGATTCCAAGAAAGCCAAAGCTTTTCTTAAAGCAACTCTAAAATGTATAAAGGCAAGACCAGTTACTAGGCTGCTAATATATACATCTCAGTAACTTAGCTAACCCTTGGAAAGACAGTGTAAGGAAAATAAACAATAGAAATGTGCCAAAGTACATAGGTAACGTATGGTATAAACCTGGATCAAATGCTACAACATGACACCAAAAAAAATACAAAGGCTAGTCCATTATAATTTGGACAATGGAATGATTTTGAACCAAAGAATTGGGTTCCACATTCAAGAGTAGAACATCATTGCAAATTTCTAAAGCCTTGATAGTTCATTAAAAGAAAGAAAGAAAGAAAAGCAAAACGTTTTGAAATAGTCCCCATTGAAAAGTAACAATCATGTGAAAAACAGCTTTATAGTTCATGACAACGGTTGGTAAGGTAGAGAATGAACAAATGGGAAAGAAAATGATTACCTTTGATAACAATAAGCATATTGAGGAAGCCATTGCCTGCATCACATCAACTGCTGACGAAATAGCATCCTTAACATTTTGGACATCTGCCTGTATATGTAGAGTCCAATAAGCTCTCCATTAAAAGTAAATATGCATGTGGGTAGGCCACTGAGAATCCTAAGTTTAAAAGCAGGAATGAAAATGAGGAGATGCATACCCTTGCCCCTCCAACAACAGGAAGGCGAAGTGTACTAGCCCTCAAAGCTTCTATAGCCCCCAACAATGAACTGGAGTAATCCCGTTCCATAAGCGATGATTCTTCCAAATACATCATCTGGGAGCAGAATTTAAAACTGATATATGTTTGCCATGAACTTGAGCGCCACATATATTGGGAATCTAGCACAGTAGAAAAGAGAAAGGCAGCGTTTGACAAATGTTGATATAACTTTTAAGTTCTTCTTGTAATGATTATTCTTTTTCTTATGTTCACAAACAGTAAAAAGATCTTTCACGAATAGAATTCGATAAATTCTCACCACCCGTCCCCATGCCCATGCCCTTATTTCAATTCGTGGCTACATGTATCCTTTCATTGTTCACTGTTGACCCAATTCTTTGCAATTTTGGGTTTTGGGGGAACAGGAATAGATAAGAATAGATTTATCTTTTTGTATTTTAGTCTTTGATGCAACAATATTACTCTTCTGTAGCTTCGTCAAGCTCACATCATATGAGCTAATCAATATCATAATCTTAACAAGAGTTGTCGCAGTTCTATTTGTTGATGAATGGAAAATGGAAGGTTTTGGTTTCATTTCATCAGATTCCACTCGATTGAGTAAAATATGTTCGTGCATTAACGACACAAAGAAAATGATAGAAACTAACATTTCATACATATAAATAATCTTCTCTCGATTAAGTAAGCTAAATACTAAATTATTCGCTTGACCTAGTAATTAAATACCGAATTAATGGGCTTAATTTGTATGTTATGTTATGTGAGTGATGCGATCATGCGAGAGAAGACTTCTCTCCCACATGGGTAAGATAATGAACGTATTTATTCTTTCTCAATTTCAGTAATGACCTCATCCACTTTATTAGTTGCATAAGACATTACGTAACTATTACTAATTACTTGAATTTAATTAATCTGAGAGATCATAATATATCGTGTCAAGTTTCATGTCGTACCCAAAAAAGTACTACAGATAGATTAAAAAGGAGTGGAGGAAACAAATCTAACCGTCAACATCAATCAGAAACCAAAAACCGACGGTGCAACTTGAAGAACAAAGAGAAGCGGAAACACGGAGCCGCTCGTGCCCAGAGTTTGGAAGATATTCCCTCGATCCACGCCCACATCGTACACCCTAAAACCCCACCGTCAAAAAATAAACTTAACTCAACCACAGTTACTTTAACTCAACCATTAATTAACCATTTTAAATTTGTTCTCTTCTTATAGAATTCTCCAACTCTTTAACTCTGTACTCACTCTCTCTTCACTACTTTTCTGGGTTTTAGACTTCTAAACTAAATTACTTCTACTGTAGAAATCTGAAACAAAATTGGTCTATAAATCGGACGGTGGTGATTAAGGGTGAGAAATCATGAGCTGCAACGGGTGCAGAGTTCTGCGAAAGGGGTGCAGTGAGACATGCATATTGAGATCATGCTTGCAGTGGATGGACCCCGAAGCCCAAGGCAACGCCACTGTTTCTCGCTAAGTTTTTTGGCCGCAGCGATCTATTATCCTTCATCGCTGCTGTTCCTGAAACTCAAAGACCAGGTTATACATATTGCATATTAAGATACTTATTTTTGCTTTATATATGTATAACTCCTTTTTTAACTTTTTTTTTTCTTTTCAGCTTTGTTTCAGTCTTTATTGTTTGAAGCGTGTGGGAGAACAATCAATCCGGTGGAGGAGCGGTGGGTTACTGTCAAGTGGTAACTGGCACTTGTGCAGGCGGCGGTGGAGACGGTGCTAGCTGGAGGAACTCTGAGACCGATATCGGGACATAATGGAGTTTTGAAGGCAAACTGTACCGATGAATCTTCCGGAAGTTATTATGTGGATGGCTTCATGATGAAGAGCCTCCACCCCAATCAAGGCCGTTGATTATACATGATCGAAGGGAACAGAACCGGAAGTCTGATCTTGATCTGTCTCTGAAACCCAAGTTTGGTAGCAGCGGGGTGAAACGTGGCAGAGGAAGGGTTGGCAGAGAGCACATGCGATGTCGTTTTACTCAGAGATAGGAGATGACTAGTCTTCAGAGTGAAGTAACAGAAAAAGAAGAAAGGAAGCTTTTGAATCTGTTTGTTTGAATTACAATAGAAATGATCATGAGATTGCAAGAGAGTTATTATGTTTAAAAATGACGGCTTTTGTAGAAGTATCAAGAGGAGCTTAAATAAAATAAAATGGAAAAGCTTGTAATTTTGGTTGGTTACTCCGGCGAATGAATGGAATTTTCCGGTGAGTTTTGTTTTTGAAGTAACGTATGCTTGGTGTTAGTGATAAAAAAAGTGACGTGTTAAGTGTCTGTTTGATTGTAAGCAGCGTTGTCAGCTTCCATGGATTTGTCCGGACTGTAACATTTCCAATGGAGGACTTAGAAGCGTCTGATAATATAATGGAGTCGTTTGATCAAGGGATGTCTCCATTGCTTGACACGTTCTAATTAACAAGGCGATTTTGCCAAAGAACAAAGAAAATATCATGTGTATTGTACTGCATAATAATAAATTAACTAAATGTTTAATTGTGCTAAAATAGATAAAGATAAAGAGTGGATGAATAATAAGGATAAAGTTATTTGTATAAATTCTGTTTTTATACAAACTGATGTAGTGTATACACTAAATGAATGTCATGTATAAAGACTCATATGAAATTAATGTGATATTAAATTATATGATCTTTAATGTCACGTGACATATATATTACGTTGTTTCTACAAAAAAAGAGGTTTGATAAGCATTCCATAAATAAATGGTGAAGGAAGTTGATGATTTGGAGATGGGAATGGTGTGATGCAATGGATGAAAATTAGATTAGAGGGAGCATCTGGGCTAGGAGAATTAGAGGTGGAGAGTGGCCCTAGAATGGTGCGGTGCACGTCAGCCTCCTGCTTGGACCATAGTCCTCCTCCATTGGAAGTGGGTTCCACGGCATCAACACCTTGTTTTTTATCTTCTTTTTTTTTTTTATAAAACAAAAGCAAAGTCTTATTCCAAATCCAATCCATTCGCTTCACCTAGCTTCGCTCGCCGCGTCTACAAGCATATGCTGTGGATCCCACTACACCTTCAATAAATACCTTATTCCCGCAAGCAAAACCCAAAAGGAAAAACAAATTCATTCTCTCTGCACGCTTCCTACCAACTCTTACAATATCAATATCATAGACATAGTTGATTGTTAAGGTTCGAGGGAGTCAGTGAAAGTCAATGATCTCTAACTAAATTATATCAGTTTTAAGAATTCAAGTTTGAAGATTTGTCTGGAAAAATCCTGGTAGAAAACGTAGAGATCGGAGAAAAATGTATTATAAAAATACTCAGAACTTGTTATTTCTTATTGGATTACCTCAGCCTTCAGGCTTCCATTAATTAATTTTTCATACGCATTAAAAAATGATATCATAGTGGCAGAAGACTCTGATTTTTATAAAAGAAAAAAAAAATCCCACATTATACATACACGATATAACACAAACAAACTTGATAAAACCATTGAATAATAGAAATTAGCAGACATCATTACACATATTACATTATACTTTCCTCTGGCCTATAGAAAAGTAAAATGTATACAACCTAATTTGACTATGAGAAAGACCGCAACCTATGCAAACAGAAGTAACCTAATACAGTTAACCCTTGACGTATGAGAACAAAGGCCAAATAAGCACTCTTCTGCTTTTTAATGCCACAACAATCACTCAATCCCTTATTAGGTGCGGCGCCATAATTCCAAGAAGAAATGGGATTTTTTTTAAGTCACGTTAGTATTAGGGATAGACAGTGAAATGATGTAAACTTTACACTTTCGTTGTCAGGCTTGACGGTATACGTTCCAGTTGTAAAATTTGTGTTCTCACACTACATTCCTTCACCTGGTAATTGAAACATTTTTTCAGATAAACAAGGATTTCAAGACCTCTATAATTAAACATTTAAACTTAAACAAAATAAAACAAAACAAAATCAAAAAAAAAAATCAAAAAGAGGGTTAACCCGACCCAACCCGGCAGGTTAGGGTTGGCAGTCCGAGTTGGGCCAGCCAATTCCCCAACATTGGTGGGCCTAACTCGACCTGCCAATGTTGGCGGGCGGGTCAGGACCGACCCGCCACTTTGTGCAACCTGTCGCGGGTCGGGCTGCTTTTCCACCTCTAAGCTCGACTGGTGGCAAAAGGTTTCACACAACGAGAAGGTTTTGATTACCAAGAAACATTCTCACCCGTTGCCAAACATGTTACTGTAAGGTCATTTTTATCCACTGCCTCTACTCGTGACTAGTCCCTATATCAAATGGATGTTCATAATGTTTTTCTTCATGATGATTTACACGAGGAGATATATATAGACCTTCCGCCTGAACTTCATAGAGAGGGGGAGAACACAGTATGTCATCTGTGCAAGTCTCTTTATGGTTTAAAACAAACACCTCGGTAGTGGAATGAAGAGTTCACATAGGCTCTTACAAACATTAGTTTTCTACAATCCAAGCATGACTATGCCCCTTTCTCCTGGCGCAAAGGTGAATCTTTTATTGCACTCATCATTTATGTTGATGACATTTTAATTACAGGAAATGATGAAGAGGGAATCAAAAGTTTGAAAGTGCATCTTAATAGGCATTTTCGAATTAAAGATCTTGGCGAGCCAAAATACTTTGTAGGGATTGAAATTGTCAGATCTCAAGCAGGCATTTCCTTAAGTCAACAAAAGTATGTTCTTGAACTTATATCAGACTCTAGGTCAGCAACATGTAAACCAAATGTTATTCCAGTCGAGCAGAATATCAAGCTTACCACTCAAGAGTATGACAAAGAGACGCCATCCTCAGAAATAGATCTGCCACTACAAGATCCCTCGCATTATCAGAGACTTGTGGGGCGACTAATTTACCTTACCATGACACACCCTGATATCAACTATGCGGTCCATATTCTCAGTCAATTCATGCATGAGCCAAAACAATCACACATGGATGCAACAATGAAGGTACTAAAATACTTAAAAGGATGTCCTGGCTTGGGACTTCCTTTGCCTTGAGATGGAAACTTAAACGTCACAGCATATTGTGACTCTGATTGGGTCACATGTCCTATGACAAGGAAATCTCTCACCCGATTATGTATAAAACTCGGAGGTGCACTAATCTCCTGGAAGACAAAGAAACAATCAACAATATCTCTCTCATCAGCAGAGGTGAATACAGAGCAATGGCTAAAATGACATGTGAGATCATCTAGATCCTCAGGTTACTAGGAGATTTGGATGTACATACCAAGACACTTGTCCATTTATACTGCGATAACAAAGCTACAAATGATATTGCAGCCAATCCAGTATTCCATGAAAGAACAAAGCACATAGAGATTGATTGTCACTTCATCAGAGAAAAAATTCAAGAAGGTATAATCAAGACTTTACATATCCGTACTTTAGAACAACCAGCGGATGTCTTCACAAAACCATTGTGCAACAGACATCACTCTTATCTTCTTCACAAGCTTAAAGTTTATGACATTTACAAACCACAAGCTTGAGGGGGAGTGATGGAATGTGATTATTACAAAGAGTTGTGATCCAGACTTAATTAAAGGCTAAAACTATTATAGCTTGATTCATGGCTTGAGTCATAGAATTACAGTTATAGATTTCATGTAATTACATTGATTGTATTTCCATATTTTACATTTGTAATCTTGTATAAATTGAACACATTACAATACTGAAATATACATAAAAAAAATATTCTTTCATCTTCTATCCTCTTATCTTCTAGGCACTCTATCATCTTTATTCCTCGACCTCTTTTGCCTCTCTTCTTGCCATACTCTGACAAAACTTATTATTTTATACCACTTTTTGTCTATAGAACTGGGAAGCAAATTACATTACTGCTTCTTCCAATATGTACTACAATTCGTCGTCTTGCCATATTATATTTTAGATGACGTGCCGTGTTGTAGCACTAATGCAAACGATATTTCAACTACCAATTTTAGAGGCAGGTGGACCTGTTGTTCAATTCTTTGAGAGAGAGAAAAGGGTGGCTTTGGGTTGTCGGATTATATTCTGAACCCAAAATTGTTGAACATTACACAATTCTAAACATATTTCTATCACAAATCACATGGTATCAAAGCCCATGTCTGTGTCTCTGACGCAGGCCCTTGATTCTTGTTTTATTATATGTAGTTCAGTCACTGTCTGGCACTTATCCAGTTCTTCTCTAATTGTTTTTCATGATTTTTCATTTTTGGAGATCTGTCAGTTCTACTTAGCCATATAAGCTGGATCTTCCAAGCAAATTCCTCAATGAATGATGAAACAATGTCTGACATTAACTCATATGGCCTTGATATTGGTTTTGCACATCGCTGCAGAAGATGATAAAACTGATATCATGTTTGCATGAACTTGAGCGCACCATATATTGGGAATCTAGCACAGTAGAAAAGAGAAAAGCAGCGTTTGACAAATGTTGATAATATATATATATATAACTTTTTAAGTTCTTCTTGTAATGATTATTCTTTTTCCTATGTTCATCAAACAGTAAAAAAGATCTTTCACGAATAGAATTCGATAAATTCTCACCACCCGTCCCCCATGCCCATGCCCTTATTTCAATTCGTGGCTACATGTATCCTTTCATTGTTCACTGTTGACCTTAATTCTTTGCAATTTTGGGTTTTGGGGGAACAGGAATAGATAAGAATAAGATTTTATCTTTTTGTATTTTAGTCTTTGATGCAACAATATTACTCTTCTGTAGCTTCGTCAAGCTCACATCATATGAGCTAATCAATATCATAATCTTAACAATAAAGTTGTCGCAGTTCTATTTGTTGATGAATGGAAAATGGAAGGTTTTGGTTTCATTTCATCAGATTCCCACTTGATTGAGTAAAATATTGTTCGTGCATTAACAGCACAAGGAAAATGATTAGAAACTAACATTTCATACATATAAATAATCTTCTCTCAGATTAAGTAAGCTAAACACTAAATTAGTCAGCTTGACCTAGTAATTAAATACCAAATTATATGGTGCTTAATTTGTATGTTATGTTATGTGATGTGATGCGATCATGCGAGAGAAAGACTTTCTCTCCCACATGGGTAAGATAATGAACGTATTTATTCTTTCTCAATATTCATTAATGACTTCATCCACTATGTTAGTTGCATAAGACATTACGTAACTATTACTAATTACTTGAATTTAATTAATCTGAGAGATCATAAATAATATCGTGTCAAGATTTCATGTCGTACCCAAAAAAAGTACTACAGATAGATTAAAAAGGAGTGGAGGAAACAAATCTAACCGTCAACATCAATCAGAAACCAAAAATCCAACGGTGCAACTTGAAGAACAAAGAGAAGCGGAAACACGGAGCCGCTCGTGCCCAGAGTTTGGAAGATATTCCCTCGATCCACGCCCACATCGTACACCCTAAAACCCCACCGTCAAAAAATAAACTTAACTCAACCACAGTTACTTTAACTCAACCATTAATTAACCATTTTAAATTTGTTCTCTTCTTATAGAACTCTCCAACTCTTTTAACTCTGGTACTCACTCTCTCTTCACTACTTTTCTGGGTTTTAGACTTCTAAAACTAAATTACTTCTACTGTAAGAAATCTGAAACAAAATTTTGGTCTATAAATCGGACGGTGGTGATTAAGGGTGAGAAATCATGAGCTGCAACGGGTGCAGAGTTCTGCGAAAGGGGTGCAGTGAGACATGCATATTGAGATCATGCTTGCAGTGGATGGACTCTCCCGAAGCCCAAGGCAACGCCACCTTGTTTCTCGCTAAGTTTTTTGGCCGCAGCGATCTATTATCCTTCATCGCTGCTGTTCCTGAAACTCAAAGACCAGGTTATACATATTTACATATAAAGATACTTTATTTTTGCTTTATATATGTATAACTCCTTTTTTAACTGCTTTTTTTTCTTTTCAGCTTTGTTTCAGTCTTTATTGTTTGAAGCGTGTGGGAGAACAATTAATCCGGTGGACGGAGCGGTGGGTTTACTGTCAAGTGGTAACTGGCACTTGTGCCAGGCGGCGGTGGAGACGGTGCTAGCTGGAGGAACTCTGAGACCGATATCGGGACATAATGGAGTTTTGAAGGCAAACTGTACCGATGAATCTTCCGGAAGTTATTATGTGGATGGCTTCATGATGAAGAGCCTCCACCCCCAATCAAGGCCGTTGATTATACATGATCGAAGGGAACAGAACCGGAAGTCTGATCTTGATCTGTCTCTGAAACCCAAGTTTGGTAGCAGCGGGGTGAAACGTGGCAGAGGAAGGGGTTGTCAGAGAGCACATGCGATGTCGTTTTACTCAGAAGAATCGGAGATGACTAGTCTTCAGAGTGAAGTAACAGAAAAAGAAGAAAGGAAGCTTTTGAATCTGTTTGTTTGAATTACAATAGAAATGATCATGAGATTGCAAGAGAGTTATTATGTTTAAAAAATGACGGCTTTTGTAGAAGTATCAAGAGGAGATTAAATAAAATAATAAATGGAAAAAGCTTGTAATTTTGGTTGGTTACTCCGGCGAATGAATGGAATTTTCCGGTGAGTTTTGTTTTTGAAGTTAACGTATGCTTGGTGTTTAGTGATAAAAAAAGTGACGTGTTAAGTTGTCTGTTTGATTGTAAGCAGCGTTGTCAGCTTCCATGGATTTGTCAGGACCGTACATTTCCAATGGAGGACTTAGAAGCGTCTGATAATATAATGGAGTCGTTTGATCAAGGGATGTCTCCATTGCTTGACACGTTCTAATTAACAACGCGATTTTGCCAAAGAACAAAGAAAATATCATGTGTATTGTACTGCATATAATAAATTAAATAAATGTTTAATTGTGCTAAAAATAGATAAAGATAGAGATTGGATAATTAAATAAAGGTAATGTGTTATTTGTATAAACCTGATACAAAGACAGTTTATCGTGACACATCAAGTGAGTGTCACGTGACATCAAGTGAGTGTCACGTGATATAAAAACTTATATGACATTAATATGATATTAAGTTATATGATCTTTAATGTCACGTGCCATATCATATCAAGTCAGCTTGTGCAAACATAAAGAGAGTTTGTACAAACATTACCATTAAATAAATGGTGAAGGAAGTTGATGATTTGGAGATGGGAATGGTGTGATGCAAATGGATGAAAAATTAGATTAGAGGGAGCATCTGGAGCTAGGAGAATTAGAGGTGGAGAGTGGGCCCTAGAATGGTGCGGTGCACGTCAGCCTCCTGCTTGGACCATAGTCCTCCTCCATTGGAAGTGGGTTCCACGGCATCAACACCTTGTTTTTTATCTTCTTTTTTTTTTTTTTTTATAAAACAAAAGCAAAGTCTTATTCCAAATCCAATCCATTCGCTTCACCTAGCTTCGCCTCGCCGCGTCTACAAGCATATGCTGTGGATCCCACTACACCTTCAATAAAATACCTTATTCCCACGCAAGCAAAACCCAAAAGGAACAAACAAATTCATTCTCTCTGCACGCTTCCTACCAACTCTTACAATATCAATATCATCCATGACATAGTTGATTTTAAGGTTCGAGGGAGTCAGTGATAGTCAATGATCTCTAACAATTTAATCAGTTTTAAGAATTCAAGTTTGAAGATTTGTCTGGAAAAATCCTGGTAGAAAACGTAGAGATCGAGAAAAAATGTATATAAAAAATACCAGAACTTGTTATTTCTTATTTGGATTACTCACGCCTTCAGGCTTCCATTAATTAATTTTCATACGCTTAAAAAATGATATCATAGTGGCAGAAGACCTGATTTTTACAAAAGAAAAAAAAAATCCCACATTATAATACACGATATAACACAAAAACCTTGATAAAACCATTGATAATAGAAATTAGCAGACATCATTACACATATTTACATTATACTTTCCTCTGGCCTTAGAAAAAGTAAAATGTATACACCTAATTTGACTATGAGAAAGACCGCAACCTATGCAAACAGAAATAGACCTATACAGATAACCCTTGACGTATGAGAACAAATGCCAAATAAGCACTCTTCTGCTTTTTAAAAGCCACAACAATGATTCAATCCCTTATTAGGTGCGGCTCCATAATCCAGAAGAAATGGGATTTTTTTAAGTCCCGTTAGTATTAGGGATAGACAGTGAAATGATGTAAACTTTACACTTTCGTTGTCAGGCTTGAAGGTATACGTTCCAGTTGTAAAATTTGTGTTCTCACACTACATTCCTTCACCTGGTAATTGAAACATTTTTTTCAGATAAACAGGATTTCAAGATCTCTTACCTCAAAGCAGCTACCCTATCAATGAAAATTCTAATACTGATCCACTCTTGTAACCTTTCAAATAATAAATCAAATAAAAAATTACCTCTGGCCGCAATTGCTGACAGAGATCTTTGCATTGACAAAGTAAAACATGTTCTTTTGCACTTACATGGGCAAGTTCAGCCACTAAGGAATTAACTTCCCCAGCCTATCAATGAAAATAAATTTGTGCGTCAGATAGAAACCCTTTAAAATGACAAAGCGTGCATAATATTTGAGATACATGATTGACTTAACACTTGTCTGCCAATAATCAGCCACAAGTAATGCAAATTGCAGACCAAAAAAAAAAAAAGTATGCCTGGCGATTATACACAACAGTAGGTTAGCATGTGGTGCATAAGCTTGATCCATCTGATTTGACAGGTAGTAAGAGAACCATTTTTCGTTTGAAATTACAAAGAGGGTGGAAAATAGGTTAGCAGGCATGTCTTGAAGACCATTGGATGGGATACTCTTACCACTTCTCCTCAGCCCATCCAATGGTCCTCAACGGCCGGTATGTTACCAACTCCGTAACAAAACGAATCCTACTGACATAAAGATAATTGTCAATTGGAGGCATGATATAATCCAAGTCATGATATTCTACACCAGTATATTGAATTTCTCTCTATTCTCTGGCCAAACTCTTCCCAACACCTTCACAACAACCTTAAGTCTAGACAAACAAGTCTTTAGAGAACCATTTTTCACACGAATTCCATTTCGAATGAACAACAAGGCTACCATGAATTTCACACTTACTTCCAACCTTGCAACTTCCAAGATCAAAAGCCCATCTTTCAATCATTTTTACATAAACTTATGGACAGGAATGAAAATTCCCACAAATCTTAAGAGGTTCAGTTGTTTATAGTTCTTTTCTTTCCTTTTTTTTTTTTTAATGGGATTTTCTCCAGAACTACAATTGAGTTGTTGTGGAAAAAAAAAAAAAAAAAAAAAAGACAATTCTCATTTGTTTGTATTAAAAGGAGAGTTGTCAAGTTGTTAATTTCTTGGGTTGGAAAGTTTCTATGTGAATTTGGGATTAGTTATGTAGAGTATGAATGGTATTTTCTGTTGCAAAGAATGTGAACAAGGTTATTTCTTGCAGAGTGAGAAGTTGTTGAAGGCAAGGGCGATTTCCTTATCAAATATGAAGAATGGGTTTCGTTTTAATAATTACATTGACAAAGAATTAGACACATGTCCATAAAAAAACATAGCGAGTGACTGCGACTGCTCCTCGCATGGCTCTGTCGGTAGTATACACCTGGTTTTCCCCTTTTTTAGCACTGTTATCTAATATAGGATATGGTTACAGTGCTTGTTGACTGCATCCCATGGTTTAAAATGGCCAAATACTTACTGGGCTAATAACAAGTTTTATCCCTAATTATTCTTAAATGAAATCCAAGAAGATTTAAACAGGATATTTCATGCTCTCAAATATGAGAAGCATATTACCCCACAGCTGAAAATCTTGTTGCTCCCTCAATTAATGGCATAAACCACCATATGTTATATATATCAAAATTGATCCCAGGAGAAGAGCAAGTTCAAAATTATTTCAATCAATCGATTCCAAGAAAGCCAAAGCTTTTCTTAACAACCTCTAAAATGTATAAAGGCAAGACCAGTTACTAGGCTGCTAATATATCATCTCAGTAACTAGCTAACCCTTGGAAGACATGTAAGGAAAATAAACAATAGAAATGTGCCAAAGTACATAGGTAACGTATGGTATAAACCTGGATCAAATGCTACAACATGACACCAAAAAAATACAAAGGCTAGTCCATTATAATTGGGACAATGGAATGATTTTGAACCAAAGAATTGGGTTCCACATTCAAGGTAGAACATCATTGCAAATTTCTAAAGCCTTGATAGTTCATTAAGAAAGAAAGAAAGAAAGCAAAACGTTTTGAAATAGTCCCCATTGAAAAGTAACAATCATGTGAAAACAGCTTTATAGTTCATGACAACGGTTGGTAAGGTAGAGAATGAACATGGGAAAGAAAATGATTACCTTTGATAACAATAAGCATATTGAGGAAGCCATTGCCTGCATCACATCAACTGCTGACGAAATAGCATCCTTAACATTTTGGACACTGCCTGTATATGTAGAGTCCAATAAGCTCTCCATTAAAAGTAAATATGCATTTGGGCAGGGCACTGAGAATCCTAAGTTTAAAGCGGAATGAAAATGAGGAGATGCATACCCTTGCCCTCCAACAACAGGGAGGCGAAGTGTACTAGCCCTCAAAGCTTCTATAGCCCCCAACAATGAACTGGAGTAATCCCGTTCCATAAGCGATGATTCTTCCAAATACATCATCTGGGCAGAATTAGACAACATATGACAGTCAAAAGGTTGTAAAGTATTGAATATTATCAAAAATGCTCTTTATACAGCATCACAATATCTTCACAACAATAATAAAGTCATAACAAATTCAATGATACAACAGTGGTTATCTTTCTGCTATTACTTTTATTATTTTTCCCCTTCTTGAAATACTAATGCAATCAAATGCCAAAAGGTTTTGCAATCATTGAACAAAAGGAGTTAGGAAAAGCCAAACAGAAAATTCTAGTAGTAAAAAAGGAGAAAAAGAAAATGCAAAAACATAGAAAGCAGTAATCGAAATTTAAAAGTTCCAAGGCATCAATGAATTTCACAAACTGCAAAAATGACAAACATAGCTGCATAGGACAAGTAAATAACCAAAGAAAAAACAAAAGAGCAGTATCAACTAAATGCAGCTAATGTTACCTGCCCCCTGAGGATAGATGTTAGCTTCAAATTTTGCCTCAGCAACTGTAACTCAGTTCTTTTGGCTCTAACAGATTCACGCAGCTTTGACGTAGTTATCCACGCGTTATAGAGGCTTCTCTGATAGAAAGACAAATTTTAAGGAAAAAGAATCCTCTTAAGCACAGGTAAGATTATCATAAAGATATAAAAGATATATATATTAAATCTGTTCGTGCATGTTGCAGGATTAAAAAAATAAATAAAATCTGTTCATGCAAGTGCTCACTTAGAGCAGGGGTAGTGCATGAAGGTTTGCATTTTTTTGAAGAGAAAAGTAACTGAAACACAGAATATGACTCATATAGATAACAAAGGTATAATTCTATTCATAAACCTCAGATTAGCATCTAATAGCAGGGGACATGCACATAATAGCAAAGTTGAAAAAACAGCAGCCTGCTAACAGGCTCTCAACTTTTGCCCAGACATGACAACCCGATAAGAAACTTCAATGAGAAACTATCGATGTCGATGAACAGTAAAGTTTGCTTTCAAAAGGAAAAGAACCAAAACTTTCCCACAACCCCGACAATAGCTAATCACTATTTCTAATTTGATATTCAACATGGATACCACCTATAAACAGAGCAGCCCACTAACAACCCCCTCACTTTCTCCCAAGTTGCTCTTCAACCAAATAACACCAATAAACACAGCACCATATTTCTACATTTCAATTTAATACCCTGTCTGCCTGCTGCAATAACAGTAACAATACCATTTTCACCTTATATCCTTCAATTAAGAGAGCTTTCAAACAATCCCCATAAGGCCATAACAGCTGTCAACTTACCCATTGCATTCATCACCAATAGACATGAGCAATATCTCCAAATGTCACATTTCGCATAAACTTTCAAACTTATTAAACCGGCACTCTATTATAGAAGTATCATCTTTATGAATTCAGAAATGGTAATAAATCTCCTTTTCTTCTCCACCATAGAAGCAACCGTTTTAGATCAACTACTTTTATTGACTACTTTACAAACTAGCCATCATAATTTCACTCTCTGTTTATGCAAGCATAAGAATTCGTAGTTTGTTTCTGTTGTGGTTCAACTTTCAGATTTCTCTGTTTTCTACTCCTTTGTTGCTCCCACTTCCTCATTAAAAAAACCACCTCCAGTCATGTTTAGATTTCTGTGTTTTCTACTCCTTTGCTGCTCCCACAGCAAGGTATTTATTTATAGTGTCATTATTTACCACCAACAAATGCCAAACTTATCAATAACTTTATAGCTCCATCGGGCCATATAACCAGGAAACATGGCTCCAGCTAATTTCATATATTCTACCCCCTGAACAAAATCCGCAATCCAGCATTCTGCCTAAAAAACAACCTTGACCTTCTAGAAGCTCAGCAGTTTTAACTGATAGCACAACTTAATCCCATCTCCTCAGGTACCCACCCTATTTTTTTTTACAACCCAAAGTTCCCTTGGTTTAAACATTGGGTTCAAAATTGGGAATAATGTAAAGCAGCAAAATCTTTCATAATCAGGAAACTGATTAGATAAGCGGTTGTGAGGGAATTTCAACCTCTAAACTTTTTGTTGAAAACCCAGATCATTTTGTTCCCATTAAAGAAAATGTGATACCTAGAATTTTACCACTTTTTATTCCTATCACCACTACTAACATAAAAACACAGATATAGTATTGTTGGGAGGTAAAGACAAGCAATTTAAAAGGAATAGAAGTAATAATGACCAGAAATTACTATTAAAAGAAACAGAGGGAGAAGAACAAAAAATCAAATGAAAAAACAAAATAGTAAAACATGCATCAAGTGATAACACTCATCAAACAGAATACATAACAAGTAATTTGACAGAAAAACTCAAAAAAAAAAAAAAAAATAATAATAATAAGTTTAGAGTTCAGGAGATATACCTCTGCATTCCACCTTTGGGCTGACAGAGCAGCATCAGCTCTGGCATTCGCAAACCGCCACTGCAACAACCGATTATAAAACAACCTCAGCAAATGCGCATCAACAACCCGATTTTCCCCAATCTTCCCCCTCCTAACATCGGCAGCAAAACTCAAAATCGATGGTGTGTTATTCACATTGCTCAAATTACTACTCACTCCAACCCCCACAAGATTCCTTATTCTGGAAGGGCTCACTCCCCGCACAGGAGAAGAGGCAGCAGAAGTTGCTAGCTTACTTGGCGAGGCAGGCCTAATTGCACCTCTAATAGGCGATACCAGTCCTCTGGTATTAACAACTCCTTTTGGAGACGACACAGGACTATCAATACCAAACTTCTTGGCCACGCCAAGCTTTGGTGTAGAAGCGGTTTTCAGTCCATTATTCTTAGATATGGGAGAACCCGGGTCAGTTTGGCGCCGCAATCTGTTATTAGTCTCATGCCAGAACCTGGCTGGAACTACAATCCCACGTGGACCACGCTGCCCTTGATTAACAACACCGTTACTTTCATGAGCTTCGGAATTGCTACCAGAAGACACACTCTCGGTGTCAGAAGCTACAAGATCACACCGACCATCAGATCCGTTTATAACGTCGTCTTTCTTCTTTTGCATTTGTATCCTCTCCAGCAAAGCATTTGCCGAATCAGTGCTCAATCTCGTTTCAAACAAGGCCCTGTTGTTGTTATTATCAACCATCGAATTCTGTAATGCCCTAACTACATTGCCTCCAGATCCACCACTCAATTTCTTTCTCTCGTCCGTATAATCCACGCTTCTACTCATGGAATTCGGCTGCCTTAATCTCCCAGGCCACCGCTCCAGCTTCGAATTCTCCGTATGAACCACGGTTCCTCTCGCTGGCGTAATCGCTTTTCTTCTCTCCGGTGTGCCTTTCCTTACGGCACTAATTGGCGACGGAGACGGTGCTGGTTTAGCTTTACTTACTTGAAGCGAAAACGACTCCCCTTGAAAAGACACCGACAAACTCCTCGCCGAAGTGAACAACATTTTTTGCGCCGCGGATATTTCGCCAGTTCTCACATCTAGAGAAGAATTATTACCATTCGAACGAGGAGTTACCGGCCGCCTCCGCTCCACGGATTGCGACCGTTTGATTGTGGAGTGAGATGAGGGAATTGGAGTCATCATGGCCGTTGATAAAGCTGTTCTTGAAACTAATGGTGATGGGCAACGTTTCGATGTTGTAGATGACGTGGAAGAGGACGAAGACGAGGAGGAGGAAAGATATCGAGAAGTGACTTCTCGCGATTTAGGGCGTCGATTTGCGAGAGCATTCTCGGGGTCCGAAGGTAAGAGAGGTGGCCTTGTACGATTTTGGCTAGTTGTTTTGGAGTTGTTAATTGTAGTTGATACTGCAGCTACCATTGCTTACACAAGAATTTCAGTTCATAATATTTCATTCTTCAAAGTCACTTCAGAAACCCTAATTTTCAGACTGTTCCACCATAAACCCGTGCTAAAACCTGAAAATGATAGTTTATGATAAACTAAAAGTGAGAGTGAATTAGAGAGTGTATGTATAGCAACTAGCAACTGAGACCGATTTTTCGGTATTGATATGATTTTAGACGAGAGAAAGTTACCGGAAATATGACCGTTACAGAATTCCGGCTACACAGAGAATTAGTTTAGGCGAGATTTGAGAACATAACGGTCGTACTAGACTTTAGTGTTTGGACTGGAAAATGTTAAACGAAATTATTTTATATTTCAAAAATTATATATTAGTTTCCTACTCGCGAGCTTCATATATAAGTTGGAACTCGCGTGGTGCGGGGGTAATGTGTGTAGGTAAGGAGGGTACTTTTGGCTGGTCACACGTGGAAGCGAGTTTGTGGGTTTATAGTGCACTCTAATAGTGATTTGTATGAAAAGAAGTGTAGTGGAGTGGATGTTTGGGTACTGTGAATCTTCAAAGAGACGTTACGCAAACGACACTCAATTTAAACAAATTTCAATTCTCTGATTATACGAGAGAAAATAGCCGTTCTAATTTTGGGTACATAACTGTGAATACGCCATTCTGTTATTGAGTTCTCCCGTGAACCTGGATGACTAATTTCGGTCATTTACATTTAATTACATATTAATTTAAGGATAAAGATCTTCTCACAATCCAATACAAAATAATTTTATAAACTTTTTTTATTATATTGATATAATCACTCGCAATTGATCAGCTCATAAATGGATAGTAAGATTCATAACAAGTAAATAAAACCTATTTATAAACTATCCCATTAAAATTGTAAAAAAAAAAATTTATAAAATTTGGTTATAAATATAATATTTTCCTTAATTTAAACTCTTATAATATTAAAGAAAACATACCGTTGGTGATGCAAATCACAATTGCAATTGGTAAGAGAGAATATGGGTAGTCATGATGGACATTTGGACATTGTAATGATAGTGTTAGAATTTAATTATTAAGGATTATAATAAGTTGTACCTTAAAAACAATTTTTTTTACATATTTCTTCACATCTACATAAATATGACGTTAATATTTTATTTATGCTTATTATTAGCAATTATGTATTAGAATATGAAGTGATAAACAAAATGACCACCAAATAATTGATTAAACAAAGCTTTTAAGTTTTATTAATCTTGTAAAATTGAAAGAAAGTGACAATAATCCTCCTTTGAGTTAATGTAAAGTCATTATTTGATTGCTTAATTTTTGATTGCGTGGGAAATTAGAGCAAATCAAGTCACTCTCATATCTACATTTTTTCTTTTAATTTATTATTAATTGTGAATTAATTCATCGACAACTTTTGATATCAGCAAGTGAACAGGTATACCTCCCATTCAACCACTTGCTTGTTACTATAGGTTAATCCGGAGAGACAGCGGCGGATTTAGAAAAAAAAATTAGGTAGGCCAAAATAAAAATTAATTATATATTAATATTTTTGTTTATTAATATTTTTGTTAGGGTTGATCAAAATCTAAAAATTTATAAATATTAATATTTAAAAAAAATTTGAGGGTCGGCCTGGATCCACCCATACGAAGAGGATAATTCCCTATTAGGAGAGAATATATTTAAATTGGCTCAATTTGGAAGAAAGATATTCAGATTGACTTAGACTTCAACTAAGATAACTGAAGATCATGCAACTTCCTAATTCTACGTATTTGAATCTTATCTCAGCTTTATCATATAAATGTGTGCAATATAAACCCATCATAACTTGTTTTCAGGGGGCTGGACAACTGTTCAAAGCAAATTTTCTTAGAAATTATATTGTTCTTTGTAAGCTGTCAAAAGCAATAAAATAACAGTGGATGCAGGCTCAAGTTCTAACTTGCCGAACTATTTTAAAAATTGTTTTGTGTTCTTATTTATGACTCTTTCTTTTTTATTCATTGCTAATTTTCATTAAATCACGCGCATATCCATTTCGGTTCTGAAAGGGTCAATCGAAATTCTTTTATTAGTGCAGATTTATGTATCAACATATAACAATATTTTTGTGTTCATTATTATAATTATGACGTATAGTTTGGTTATATAGAGTAAAAGATTATAACAGATAAGTAGTAACACCTTTGGTTGGCATATGAAACGCAGTTGAGACAGAAATCAACGCCTTTACCGGCGCTAACTACCCAGTTTAAGAAAGAAGAAAAAGGATTACATTGTGGTTGCAGAATCAAACATATCCTCTAACTATCCAGGTCAAGGTTGTATTCCACGTACGTAAAACGAGAAAGAAAAGACCCATGACAAGAGCAGCGTTGTTACAAGATTGTTCCAAATGAGTAATACTACACTTACAAAGAAATTTTACAAAGATTTCCATACAAAATGATGTGGCAAAAAATGAATGGAAGAGTGAATTTAATGAGTTTGACTTTTTGTTTCACTCTTCCATTCATTTTTTGTCATCTTACTTTGTATAAAAATCTTTGTAAGATTTTTGTGTAGGTATAGTATTATTGGTTCCAAATACCCACTCATAAACCAATTCATTGTTGAGTAACATTACCTAACACATGCAATGCCCCTTCAAATGTCTCAATAAAAAAAGGACCACTTCATTTCCATCTTTGCCACTGAATTTCTACATTTTTTTTTTTTTACTGTAATTTACAAATACAGTATAACCATAATTATTCTCGTGACAGTAATAACTACTTTTTTCAATCATAAGCTTTTAAGAGGGGTATCGTCACACAAATTATATACAGTACTATTAAATATTAATCAACTTTTTTTTTTTAAAGCTTAAATCAGTAAATTAGTGATTAAAAGAGAGAGATTATAAAAACAATTATAATACAATGATAAAGAATTTTCTATATCGACACTACTTATGTTAAGCAATCATTTTCTTCACATAAAATAGAGTTACATCATAATGAGACATAATTACCAGCATAAATTAGTGGATTATAACCAACTAAAATTTGCTTCAAAGTTAGCCCAATTAGCAATCAGCAGTTCAACCTAATTACTGTTTTATTAAAATCGCCCCCCACTTCTCAACATAAAGAGACAAACAGAACCTACCTACCATTAACAGGGGAGAATAACAATTATACCCTCTGAAAATTCGAAAAATCAACCTACATACCATTAATAGGGGAGAATGACAATCAGACCCTTTGAAATTCAGCANGCATATGAAACGCAGTTGAGACAGAAATCAACGCCTTTACCGGCGCTAACTACCGAGTTTAAGAAAGGAGAAAAAGGATTAGATTGCGGTTGCAGAATCAAAGTGTGCGTTTGACTTATTATTTCTGCCATATTTCTAATCCTATTATCCAAATAATGTTTGGCATATTATTCCAGAAATATTAGCTTATTTTTTCAATTACTTTTAGACCCCATAAGGTTATTAATTTCATTAAATACCCCCTAAAAAAAAGTTTAAAAATTGTCAGATTCTGACAACCAACGTCGGTGGTAGCCGGAATCTGTACAACCGCCTACCTGCCAACCAGAAATAGCTGAAAGTTCACCGATTTGGCCTTTTCTGACCAGATCTAGCCGTCAGTGACAGCCAAATATTGGCCATCATTGACCGAAAATGACGATCAAAGATGGACTTCTTTTGACCTTTTTCGGCCATCGATGGCAATATTTAGCCTTAGAGCTGGCCGGAAAAGGACATAGCGACGCGTTACGTCTGTGTCGTAACAAAATTTTTCGACCAGATTTCGATGATGGTGGTCGGAATCTGGCACTGCAAGTGGTGGGGGTGTTTTTGTTATTTTATATATTAGGGTGTTTAATTAAATTAGCAAACCTAAAGACTTTTTCATAAATTTTTAAATTTTACCTCGTAATACTCTCCTATCTAACTACCCAATATTATTTTCAAAATCTTATCCAAAATAATAAATCAAACGTACCCAAAGATATCTTCTACTAACTATCCCGGTCAAGGTTGTATTCCACGTACGTAAAACGAGAAAGAAAAGACCCATGACAAGAGCAGGGTTGTTGCAAGATTGTTCCAAATACCCACTCATAAACCAATTCATTGTTGAGATGGACTACAGGGAAGGACTAGTAACTAACACATGCAATGCCCCTTCTAATGTCTCAATTAAAAAGGACCACTTCATTTCCTACTTTGCCACTCAATTTCTACAAAATTTTTTTTTTTTTTTAATAAAATGTATGTGTCAAAGATGATGTTTTCCTGTGTGAGAGGTATTCAATAAAATGGATGGTTATATTGTACATTATGATTCGTGAGTTAGGTTTTAAAGCCTCTGTTTTATTTTATGGGCATGGTTATGGCAATACACGGGTCCAGCCATGATTCCATCGTAACTAGTAATTTACAAATACAGTATAACAATAATTATTCTCGTGACAGTAACAACTACTTTTTTAAATCATAAGCTTTTAAGAGGGGTATCGTCACACAACTTATATACAGTACTATTAAATATTAATCAACTTTTTTTTTTTAAAGCTTAAATCAGTAAATTAGTGATTAAAAGAGAGAGATTATAAAAACAATTATAATACAATGATAAAGAATTTTCTATATCGACACTACTTATGTTAAGCAATCATTTTCTTCACATAAAATAGAGTTACATCATAATGAGACATAATTACCAGCATAAATTAGTGGATTATAACCAACTAAAATTTGCTTCAAAGTTAGCCCAATTAGCAATCAGCAGTTCAACCTAATTACTGTTTTATTAAAATCGCCCCCCACTTCTCAACATAAAGAGACAAACAGAACCTACCTACCATTAACAGGGGAGAATAACAATTATACCCTCTGAAAATTCGAAAAATCAACCTACATACCATTAATAGGGGAGAATGACAATCAGACCCTTTGAAATTCAGCAGACCCCGTTCTAGATTTTTTTTTTTTTTTTGGTTAAAATGGATGGGAGACAAAAAGTGTTGACCAAGAGACTTGAACCTTGATTGAAAACACAAAGTTAACATACTTGACCACTCAACCAAACAATTTTAATAATGTGCTGCAATAAAATATATATAGAAATTAAACATATTATATTTAATTCATGTCAAAATATATTTAAAATTAATAATTAAGTAATAATTAAAATTCATGTTAAACTAAATTCGGAAAATATAAACTTTTTTTTTTCTTGTAAAGGTGGGAGAATATATTTATATATGGGAGAAAAAAATTAACATAAGATAAAATCAGAAAAAAAAAATTAAAAAAAAAAAAGTGATCACAAATTGCGATCTCAAGATCATAGTCAGTTTTTTTTTTTTTTTTATTTAATATAATATTGTTTTGTTAAATATTTATATAAAGTGTGTTTAGTGAAGGGGTGCAGTTTGAATCTGTTATGTTATCTTTTATTTAAAAGGGCAAGCTTGAAATGTTTTAAATTGATTTCATTTTAACAGATAAAACTAACGGCAGAGAGTGTTCTAGGTATTTTTCGAAGTTATGAGATGTAAAAGTAACATTTTCGAATTTAAGGGGTGTAATTGTTATTATCCCAATTAATATTTAATAGTTAATAATTTGAGTATTTTCCTTCCCATACACTGTCTGCCTCTGTGATCCTGTCCCTGTCCCCGCCTGTTTCTTTCTATCTCTCTGTTGCTTTATAAAGGGGTCCCAGTCCCACTGCACTACATACACAGATGAACAAGTTCTTGTAACTTTTTCTCTTTCACTCCAAAAAGTTGAGGGGTTATCGTTTGGACGGTGACAAATATCGCTTACAAGATTCAAAGATCAGAAGTTGTCGATTGAATCATGGAGATTCTTTCAGCATTTTAGTGCTTTCTCCAATTCAGACAAGATAAACCATATAAAAGAAAGAAAAAGGTTGTAAGAATTACTTGTACTCGGGTTTAACCTAATTAATTTGTAAATTGTACTAGTAACAGAGTCAACTACCCATTTTGGAGTACAAGTGAGCAAGAAGAGATGATATAACTTAATCCATCAATGAATGAATGGTCTCAAGAGCTCCCACAATTAGTAAAATTTATCTTCCATCAGAAACCATAATCTAGTCTTTTGTTTCCTAACTGCACAATTTAGTATTGATACTCCACAACCTACCAGAAACGATAAAAGAGTTTACTAAGGACCACCCACTAAACTTAACGAAGGATCTAAAAAGGACCAGTTCACCGAACACAGACCCACTTACTATAATCCATATTTTCATAGCAGTGTTATATAGGAATTATAAAGTTAGATAAACCAACACTTTACCCCCTAAACCTAGGTTAGGCTCCAAATGTTAAACATGATTCAAAGTTTTCAGTTTAACATACACGTTTCTTTCCCGAATTTTCCCAGCAACCAAACTGAAAAAAGTTGACAAGGACATCATACGAGTCATAGCTGACACCTGCGATTGAACCATTAACAAATTTGTAAATAGCTTAACAAAGATGAGATTCAGTTAATTAAATAATGTCTTTGTTAACAAATAATGAATATTAGGAGTTGGAAAGCGTAATGTCTTGAGCATTACTTCATATAATATTTGGTCTTAAAGTAACTAAATCTTGTTAATTGATGTTTATAGACTTAAGCATGATACCCACATTGAAAATGACTCTAAGCTTAGGATTAATGATTTCTTTCTCGGTCCCATTGCTTTTGTGACCGTGATCATTTTCTGCAGTAGCAAAACCAGAAAAAAAAAAAAAAAAGAAGAGGATAATGATAGGAGGTACTGAAGGAAGTCTTATCATGTTCCTAGCTGTATGGCTTTTATTGAGAGATTCGAAAAAAAGGGAATTGGTTAGAAGAAATGTGCTTGGTGACAAATTCATAGATGGGTCAACTACTACCGGAAGTGTTATTGTGGATGGTAAAGTAGGGCTGATATTTGATAAAGCACCAAATTGAAAACGGTGGTAATGAAATTAGCTTGAAGAAGAAGAGACTTCCTTGTATTTTAGGTCTAGTCAAAAACCAAACCCAGCTGGGTTGGTGCTACAGAGAAATTTACTTTCTTTGGCTCTTTGTGTTTAGTTGTGATTTGATGACCCTCAAGATATTTTAATAGAAATCAACATCCTGAATTTACACTCTATGCCATAGCATTCGTCCGAGATGGGTGACAATACATGATGATTATTATTCTCTCCATGTCGTTTGCCTGTTTTCTGGTAGTTGCCGAGTTGGTGACCCCCACAAATATTATAGTAAGTCTAAGCATGTCACTGGTCAAATATTGCAGAAAGAGGAAGCAATTAAATTATGTAAATACGCATGCAGCATACAGAGATCAAGGAGAATAAAAAAAAAATATATATATTTGTGGCTGCAATTTTATAGGAGAAAAGGCAATTTGATTTGTAAGGTTTTCCGTCAGACGGGGAAGTTAAGAGGTAACTAGTTTACAGTTGCAATATTTGGGAGCTGGTGGTAGGTGAAAACGAGAAATAGAGTAGAAATTACTTGAGCTGAAAAAGGGTTTGGGTATCTAATGTTGAATCACTAGAGTAAGTAGATAGAAGTTTCAGAACTATAGATATTTCCTAGCACCTATTCTGTAGTGTAAAATTTTAGCTATGGATGTTAATTCACCAGGTGATTACTTCCTGCAGCCAAGATATCATGCTATTTTAGTGCCTAGTTTAAAAATTTCCTTTTAACACAGCAAAGCATCCGACCCAGTTCAGTCAGGAATGACCATACTGTTATTTCCGATCTACATACATGGTCCGGATGTTGAGAATTGTGGTTCCGATTGGTTAAATGATAAGAAGAACGTGTTGAAAGAAAATAATGTCAATAGAGGCCTTGATCTACAACAGTTACTAATCTTTTGATGTTCGCAACAACATTTCCCGCATACTTTCTCTTGAAAACACGGAAAGGAGAAGAAACCATTAACTTTAAACACTAACAAGTGACATCAATCTACAAAAGGATGATTGCTTTTGGTTATCCCCCTCAATGTTCAAAGCAAAACAAAGCCTAAATCTGGNTTAAAGTAACTAAATCTTGTTAATTGATGTTTATAGACTTAAGCATGATACCCACATTGAAAATGACTCTAAGCTTAGGATTAATGATTTCTTTCTCGGTCCCATTGCTTTTGTGACCGTGATCATTTTCTGCAGTAGCAAAACCAGAAAAAAAAAAAAAAAAGAAGAGGATAATGATAGGAGGTACTGAAGGAAGTCTTATCATGTTCCTAGCTGTATGGCTTTTATTGAGAGATTCGAAAAAAAGGGAATTGGTTAGAAGAAATGTGCTTGGTGACAAATTCATAGATGGGTCAACTACTACCGGAAGTGTTATTGTGGATGGTAAAGTAGGGCTGATATTTGATAAAGCACCAAATTGAAAACGGTGGTAATGAAATTAGCTTGAAGAAGAAGAGACTTCCTTGTATTTTAGGTCTAGTCAAAAACCAAACCCAGCTGGGTTGGTGCTACAGAGAAATTTACTTTCTTTGGCTCTTTGTGTTTAGTTGTGATTTGATGACCCTCAAGATATTTTAATAGAAATCAACATCCTGAATTTACACTCTATGCCATAGCATTCGTCCGAGATGGGTGACAATACATGATGATTATTATTCTCTCCATGTCGTTTGCCTGTTTTCTGGTAGTTGCCGAGTTGGTGACCCCCACAAATATTATAGTAAGTCTAAGCATGTCACTGGTCAAATATTGCAGAAAGAGGAAGCAATTAAATTATGTAAATACGCATGCAGCATACAGAGATCAAGGAGAATAAAAAAAAAATATATATATTTGTGGCTGCAATTTTATAGGAGAAAAGGCAATTTGATTTGTAAGGTTTTCCGTCAGACGGGGAAGTTAAGAGGTAACTAGTTTACAGTTGCAATATTTGGGAGCTGGTGGTAGGTGAAAACGAGAAATAGAGTAGAAATTACTTGAGCTGAAAAAGGGTTTGGGTATCTAATGTTGAATCACTAGAGTAAGTAGATAGAAGTTTCAGAACTATAGATATTTCCTAGCACCTATTCTGTAGTGTAAAATTTTAGCTATGGATGTTAATTCACCAGGTGATTACTTCCTGCAGCCAAGATATCATGCTATTTTAGTGCCTAGTTTAAAAATTTCCTTTTAACACAGCAAAGCATCCGACCCAGTTCAGTCAGGAATGACCATACTGTTATTTCCGATCTACATACATGGTCCGGATGTTGAGAATTGTGGTTCCGATTGGTGAAATGATAAGAAGAACGTGTTGAAAGAAAATAATGTCAATCGAGGCCTTGATCTCCGACAGTTACTAATCTTTTGATGTTCGCACCAACATTTCCCGCATACTTTCTCTTGAAAACACGGAAAGGAGAAGAAACCATTAACTTTAAACACTAACAAGTGACATCAATCTACAAAAGGATGATTGCTTTTGGTTATCCCCTCAATGTTCAAAGCAAAACAAAGCCTAAATCTGGAGAGTTGAACTCACATAGAAAGTAATGTTCTAAACACAAGTCCAAACTCCCCAGTACCAAATCAATCGAGCATAGTGTAATTCTGTTGTCACTTTGAGAATAAAATTAACAAAAAATACACAAAGAGAATGATATAGGTACATAGAATAAGTTAGATATTCCTTAAAAGATGAAAGCTTCAAACTTCGCATTACAAATTTACAATACATAAATATCCAACAGACAATAACATGAGCAACACAAATAGTTAATTAAGTTGTCTACGTTATCAGGCTGGCAAAACATCACACACAAATAACAATATTACATTCTTTATGTCTCCAGCACATCAACAGTAGAAAAACAGGTTTTCAGTAAGCTAGGTTGATCCACCATTCATGGGATGACCAGGAGGCAAAGGCCTTGGAATGTACGGATCCGAAGGAGTGTAGTGATGAACAGGTGCAGATCTTACGGAAGCCTTACTTGGAGCTGGATCCGCGGGAGAATAATCTTGCAGATTGATCGTGCCTACATCACGCTTCTTGTTGATGCTCGGGTTATAGCCATTCTCCTAAAATCTCAGAAAGAACAAACTCAGAAATGCTTGTCTAGTAGTAAAGATCATAATTAATTAATTGTTTATTATTCTGAATTATATAAAGTAGCTTATTTGTGTATTTGGCACAACTTGCCACAGTGATCAAAAGCCCAAAATTCCTTCCATGACAGCGTACATACCTTCAGCTTCCTACTTGTTGCCATTATCTTCATACCATCACTGTGGTGGGTGAAGACCATACCTAGAATAAAATTTTAGAAGGGCAAGGTGTCATCATGTGAACAATTTACTAGATTCCAGCCAATCAAAATCTGAGAGAATTAATTTGGACTCATCTACCTACTTCACCGTTCCCTCACCATGGATAGTAAATTCTAGAACATAAGTGTTTTTTAATACGATGCATTCCTTGCATAATACAATATCTAAAAAAATCTGGAATTGGCACCAAAGGAGTAAGCATTACATCTTCTCTTGCCAGTCCGAAGTCATCAACATTACATTACAGAGTTTCTCAATCGTCATAGCATAAACAGACCTTGAAAATTGTAAAAATTGACAGAAGGGATCAACGCATAAGCTAATCAGATGCAATCTATGATGGCTAAAGGGTCAAGTTACACCTAATGGTTGTATCTCATACCACAAACTCACCCAAAGTTCTCAAATGAAATTATGAAATCACATGCCAACAACCCATGGATCAAACTCTGACCACTTTCTCTTCTACAACATCTAACCATCCCAGATGTACCAAGTAGTAAGTACTAGCAATCTCGTTATATCTTTAAAAAATTTAATACCATTCTCAAGAAAGGGGAAAAAATTGAGCAACCAAAAGATGTCCGGTGCTATTTAATTACTTTAATATCATTATACTGTTATAAATCCCTGGACACATAAAAGTGAAACATTCAATATTATTTATGCAGAATAAGATTAAAATACACAAAATTTACTTTCAATTACTTCCATGTGCTTTTAGAAAACAAGATTGAAGCTAAATATAAAACTTTTCTTAATCGGATTTTTAGATATCATATTCAATCATTTTTCTTTCACAAACAGTTTTTCAAACCCCTTGTAGTCGGATTTAAAATTTCAAAACACCGACAAATAATAACAGTTTATATGTTTCTACAAACAGATATCAATTTCATATTATCCATAAACGAAAAGGCCTAGAACCGGGAAAAAGTTTATACGTTTCTTCACAATACAAAATATCGAACTTCCCATCATATTCATTCACTCAACATATAGACACTACGATTTTACGCTCGATCCTACGAGCATTGCCAAATTTTGTATAAAGAAATGTTTCACCGACACAGAACAGAAGCAACTGATTGCACAGAAGAAAACACATACCAGGAATTGAGTGCCTAGTTCTGTTACTGGAATAGTTCAAGAAGATCCCAGCTGTCCCAAGCACAAAGAAAAGAACCCAGAACCCAGAAATCTTCATAGTGGAAAAATAGAAATAACAACCTAAAGCTTTCCTTTTCTCCAAAATGAGTATAATTGTGCGTGCACTTTTCAGAATTCACTTTAAGACGCCTTTAAAACTAGTCAACCCATGAAAAAAATCGCAAGAAAATAACCAGAGGCCTTTTGTCACCCGAAATTCAGTGAACAACAAAGTCCACCAGAAAATCCGTGAAGACAAGAAGAGGAGAGGTGTGGGTGCCTAAAGACTCCATGCTTTGAATAAATAGTGTAGCAGTATTATCTTCATTTTATTTATTTATTTTTTTAAAAGAATTGTAATTAATGTTTGCAAGTGAATAATAAAAGAAAGCATGTAGTATTGTGGTGTTCGGTTGTCTTGCATTGCTGAAGGGTTCAGGAAAAGAGTAATTGCCCTCACTGTTTATTATTGTTGCAGAAACACTGGGGAGTGGGGAGTGAAGAGTCTTTAATGCGTATTTACTTGTGTGCGCTGGAGTCCGAGCCGCTGGGCACGTCTTGTGGGCTTTTGGCGCCAACTGCATCGAACATTTTTTGTTTGTATGCCACACAATTTCATTTTATTTTTAATATGATATTAACCTCGAACCCAAGGGGGTGTAGCTCATATGGTAGAGCGCTCGCTTCGCATGCGAGAGGCACCGTGTTCGATTCCCCGCACCTCCAATTGCTTTTTTGGAATTTTATAATTTCTAGAGTGTCCACGTGTAAGAATTTTCTATATTTGATATTGAACTTCTCAGCTTTAATTTCTAGATTGTCCACGTGTAAGAGTTTTTTCTATCTGATATTGAACTTCTCAGCTTTTGTTAATGTTGGTCAAAAAGTTGCAAAAGAAGAAAGTTTGATCAGCAAACATTTATCAATGTTTTCTATGTACACTTCAAAAGAACTGTTATTAAAAAACGTAGCCTTGACATGAGCCGCCGGTGATTCTCTATATTTTCACATAAAAATATATTTTTAGTGAGCAGCAAAGAAATATATGTCATGTAAACCCGTCATATGGTTATGGCAGTCAAATTGACTTTGTCTTGATCCTTCAATTTGATTTCAAGAGACAACCGCATCTGGTGTCAAAAATGTGGAAAAAAATTCAAAATAATCTTCAGGCCTTCAATTCAATAACTGATAAGATCGATAACTGATTAGACTTTACCAATAGAAGCTTCAAAACCAACACAACACAGCCATCTAAATGACTAGCTTCAATTCTACGAGGAAAGGGCACAGTCTCAGTCCATAACACACACAAGCCATGCCATTCCACTAATAAACATATTGCATATAAAAAAAAAATAAAAAAATAAAAAAAAACTCTGTCCAACTATAACTTCATTTGTTTAATTGTCAGCCAACAAAAGAGGAAATTACAACTTTAAAATCAAGTAAACTACATGTTGAGGAACAAATTTAAGAGAAAATTAAAAGAGCTCTGCACCATATCCTTCTAACAAAACCTTCCTCGCAGTTGATCAGGAAGCTCTGAGCATTCAGCGGTACTGAAGAAACAATAGAGTTAAGCATAAGTTCCAAGCTCCAAACATCAAAAAATTTGGAGCATGCACATAAATATGTGAACAAAAAATAAAAGTCAGCCTATGAATGGGGAGAAACATTAACAAACTCTTTTAGCAGGCATGTAGAGGCTGTGGCAAGAAAGTAACAAGCACAAACATGGGCATTACAATACCACGTCTATAATACAAAATTAACAAAACAGAAAACAATACCTTAATGAAGCCAATTTCCTTGGCATTGCTGCGGAAGCACTGTCTACAACACATCAACCCATACTTCCGGATTAGCCCATGTGGGTTTCCACAAACACGGCTGCCAAAGGAGCATATATCCCAAAATTAGTAAACACTTAGGAGTACCTTAAATACTAATTAAAAACCATAAGGGTGATTAAAACCAAATAAGGTTTACATATATCTTTGGCTACTCAATAAAATACCAGACTGCATACTGTTAAGTTGCTCTCACTCTTCAGCCAAGGCAACATCATCAAAATAAATATACTTCTAAATAGGTTAAATATGATGCTAAGAATATTCCAGCTTAACCCTCCTATGATTTTAGTTTGCCAGTATTACAGGATAAACCATGGTCATTATTGAATATGGCAACTCGATAATAGACATCCAGCAATCTAATATCGCAAACAAGGCATCTGCCAGTAACAAAGTCTTAAGTCTCAAGCTCAAGACAATAAATCGAATGGTTAAACACCAATTAAACTTCGAAAACTTAATATCTATTTCAACATATCCCAAATAAAATTCAACGATTTCCAGTGCCAACAGAAATTAGAACGGTACTAATCACATAATCTAATAGCAATAGATATAGGACATATCTAGAAACAGAAATTACACAAAAAAAAAAAATCAATATCAAACACAAGCGAGAATGAACACCACACAACAATCAGCTCAACAGCAGCACAGACAAGGAGATTAGTTATCAGAATCAAGCACATACCAGGTGCGAGAGCCAGGCCCGTAGCTCTTAGGATGCGAATTCCATACATTCGAGTGACCCATATTTCTTCAGCTGTCAGTAGTTGTTGAAAACCCTAGCTCTCAACAAATGATAAAAAACCCTAGTTTAATTGCTGAACTCGATCACAATTTATATGTGTATATATATATATACGAGGAGTGGCACGTGACGCGTATGCTTAACCGACTAGTATGAAACGCTACCGTATCATCCATTGACATTTCTTCTTTCCCCCTTTTGGGTCAGTTACAGGGAAACGTTTTCAAGTAGAGGGCCAAGGCCCAAGTCGCTGAATTGAAGTATCTTTTGACATCAATCGAGTCTTTGATTGCTCAAGATTGTGCCTTGTTGAATGATCTCAGCCGTCACAAAGTTTTTGTTAAAAATGATATGACTAGGTTGGTTACAAAAAGATCTTGCTTGTTTATAAACTCAATTATTATTGCTACTTTAACAACATAGAAGGCCAATAATTTCACAGTGTAATACTGTATATACTTTATTAGTGCTGTCACATGACAAATCTTTGGACTGTTAGCAAACATGAAGCTTCGGTTTTACCATTTCTTATCCAATAAAATAATTGTGGATTGCGCTAAATCAATAACCATGATCCGTCCAATGGTTTTTGAGCAGCGACAAAAGCAGCGGCGGCAATTTCAACAGAATGATGTAGACTATCGACCATCCACCTGATATCAAAACAAAAATGATTCCGATCAATTCGATAATTTAAAATTTTCTTTACACCTTGCCTGCCACATAAGCCATTGTTACTCTGTTAGTTTGTAAGTAACATCAATCAACAACAGTAGTAATGCTTGCAAGGCTATTTTTCTTATTATTTTTTAAGACATATTTTAATTTGGGACAGAATTATTCTTCGAATGATTTTATTAGGAGAAGCAGCTACGCAAGTCAAAGTTGCATAATTGAAGAAAAATCGTCAGCCAAAAAAGTTGTTTTAGATATTATTAACACCTAATTAAGGAAAATCACAACAAAATGATTGCATATTAGAAGATAACATTGAGTTCAAAAAATCTTACACGCTGCGTAACTTAAGAGGTCCATTTAAAGAAGAGTGCATATATGTCTATTCCAGATATTAGGAACAGACTTGAGAAGAGCAATTTCCAACACAACACAGTTCCTGAGCTTTTAGAATTCGTACTTGACATGTATGAGTTTTGTAAAATCTCACTCACAAAACAGCAAGATTAAAAACACATATATGAACATTACTTTATTCATAAGTAACGAAAGATGGAAGAAAGGATAACATCACTTGGTAGGCAGCTGATATATACAAACAGCTTGATGGGGAGCAGCAACTATGACACATTAACCGCACCCGACTCTTATTTCCAAACAAACGATGACTGAATCAACCCCTTTCTAATAAAGTGAGAGTTTTACGAGCCAAGAAGTTTCATAAATCAGATTATGGACAATTGCGGCCAATATATGGAGTACATCTAGCCCAACCAAAGAAATTCCAATAGAATCTCTTTCTGCTCCTTCTAGGTGATCGAGTTAGCTCTGCTTCATTTCTCTTTAGCATCTCCCACATCACTTGAACATCACTGTACTCACAACTTCTCACATCCCCTCGCAGCCTCAGTAGCCCTGCTTGTTTCCCAAACACGATTTTAGTCAATAACTTAACACTATCTAATTATAAAAACCTATCATATCAAACTTAGCAAAACTTAAATCATGCATCAGAAAAAAACAAAAATATGGTTTTCATATCACTTTATCCTCTCTAAACTGTAGTTAGAGTATAGAATCATCAATCATACTTCTAGCGTTCTCATAAATCAACACCTGATTCACAAAACTAAGATGCAAAAAGACTAAATTCAGGACAGTACAAGAAAGTGAATTCAGTTACTGCTTCAGATGAGTGTTGGATTGCACATGAACATTAAACAAAAGGAATAACTAAAAAACAAAATTCAACTTCATATCATCGGTCTCAAGCCAATAGCTATAGATATGCTAGAAAGTTTAGTATCTCATCCTGATAGCATGATCGTGTCTGGGTTATGCTTTCCCGCTTTTGATACTTGATCAATAAATTTGCTGCCCTTTCTATGTTTCCATCATCAATATCGACCAAGCTTAAACAGAACCACATAAATTATTTAAGTTTATATAAACTAAAAAATATATATATATTAAAAAAAAAAAAAAAAAAAAAAAAAAAAACCTTATACATATCCATGTTGTCTAATGTGAAGATAACTCTGAAATTTTACAAAGAATTTTAGACGGTAAATGTAAAATAACCCAAACTCATAGTCCAAAAGATCAGCAAATAATTAGTAAATTGTTAGTAAAATTTTGATGGAGTCTCATTTATACGAGTAATAAACACATTTCGACATGCACAATCGTAGGAATCAAATCAACCAAGATCACCCTTTAACGATTCATTTCATCAAGAAAAATCATTATAGAACAATATATTTACGAAACATAAAAGCAGTTTATAGCCATTGCAATTTAAGATGGATAGAGGATGTAGCTAATGATCAAACAATCATCGGACGCAGAAGACTCACCGGTTTTGCGAATCCCCAGACGCAAAGCTACGCCGTTCCAGACTCTTCTTATAGGAAACATAGCGTTGTGCCACCACCCCATCTACTAAGTTTTCTTTTCTTCTCCTCCGTTCAGAAGAGGGAAGGAGAGAGAGAAAAATGAACAATCGAGTATGGATTGAAGAGAATTACTGCACACCAAAATAAATTTATAAATCATAAGCAACAACTATAACAATACAATAGAGTATGTTCAAAGCAGAATAACATCAACAGGATAAAAACATTTTACAAAAAACCGGAAGAAACATAACAACTAACTTGTCAAATCTTCTGTCTCTTCCTCACTCTTTCTATTCCCTGAGAGCCAAGGCCTAACTATTTACTGAATTAATCAGTAGCTAAGAGACGCAGGGTGACGCGATCGTCTATTAAAATGCGACACGTGTCGGTATAACCGTTGAGGCCGTGTCCGGATTCAACGCGTTCACAATAGGTTGATTGCGACTGACATTTATGAAAATAAACGGGCGGGTTTGATGTGTTTTCTCATCCACGTGGAGAGGTTATATTGGTTGTTAGATTTCGATAATCGTACGTTCCATGTGAAGATATTATGATCTGTTGGTCTCACGTAATAAAGTCTTTTTTTTAAACAGTCTAAGGCCCGCGTGTTGAAGATGAGCATACACAGCATACTTTTGCTTTCGCGCGTGCGTCCCATTCGACAAGTGGAGAATAAACAGATCGAGCGCCAGTGCGCCACTCATATAACGGATGGTAATTGTTATGCTTGAGAAATCAAGAGCTGACGTGAGAAATCACGTGATAGGGGGTGATCTACTCTGGTCAGAACAGTAAGCACACGTCCGGCTCGTCCAACGTCATGGAGCCCCCATGTGTCTATTCCCTGCTCCAAATCGCGTAAAATTAGCTTGGAAGGTAGGTAATGTGATGTAAAGCCGGATTTAGCCCTGATATTCACACCAACCCATGGATTTAATAATGATTATCTGCACTCATCTCACTATAAAAAAGAGAAGACCCCTTCATTGAGGGGATTCGACCTTTTTACACTCTGAACTAACTTTCTTTCTCTCTCACTTGTATCCTTGTATTTATTTTTACTTAATCATTTGTAAGTCAGTCCGCTATTGCGACCTAACCCACAATATCAATACAACCATCAGTGGACGTAGGACTTGCTACCTTAGCATCCGAACCACTTTAAAAAGCTCACATTATTGCATTTACTCTTCACAATATTCATATTCACGTGTGTCTCTTTGCTAATCAACGTTACGCACGTGTCGATTAGTTGGTGTCAAAATCACGCATCAACAGTTTAGCGCTAGAAGGAGGGCCCTGATTTAGTGTTCATCCTTCATCAGGAGAATCTCTAACCTACTGATCCTACAGCAACAAATGGCCCGCCAACCTGAGCCTGAGCCAACCAACCAGCGTGCTGAGGGAGGTCCCCCAACCCAGGGGGATACCACTTCTAGAATACTTCCAGTCCCACAAAATGCTGCAATGGATATCCAAGCAGCTTCGCAGCTTGACCCCGCCATCAGAAGCTACCTGGAGAGGTTTGACAGTACTCTCCAGACGGTCAACCAAAGGCTGAATCGCTTGGACCAAGACGCGCCATCTAGAACAGCTGGGGCGGTGCAACCGCCAAAAACGACTGCAGGTCACGCGAAAGCGCAACAAAGGGAAATAGCCCGTGCCGCGAGCACTGCAGCGCGTAGACGTAAGGGTAAGCAAGTGGCAAAAAGCAAGCCTACGGGTTCCAAAGGGCCAGCGAACACAAACTGTGCCCCAAGCAGGGTGCCGACAAAGCTGAGACTCACGAAAAAGTAAATCCCGAGCTGTCCCATGCCATGTCGCAGGTGAACCCAAGCAAAAGTGCTGGACGGGATGTTTCTTATCACCGCCAGCAGAACGATCCTGATCGCTATCACGTGGGTGGTCCCCACACCTCACGGGGCGGTTCGTACCACCGCGAGGGTCGTGAAAATACCCCACACCATCCATCGCCTTCACACGCCTCTAGCCAGCGTGTGTCGAGAGCGGCTGGCAATGCCAACCGAGGCGAAGAGGAGTCTGATCTCCGTACTTTCCTGAACCGTAATCGCGAGGGCCGAACTCGCACGGGTGAAAGCAATCCCCAACTGGCTCCGTTACCACAAATTGAGGAGTTGCAGCGAGCTCTAGACAGGCTGAGAGAGCAGCAAAATGAGCAGGCCCAGGTCACCTCTGCATCCCCCTTCTCTCCTAAAGTGCTAACTGCTCCACTCCCACCGGAGTTCAGAATGCCCGACATGCGGCAGTTTGATGGGAACCATGACCCACAAGATCATTTGTATGAATTCAACGACCTGATGGAGCTCCACCAGGTTTCGGATCTTGCAAAATGCCGTTGTTTGGCCGTGACTCTAACTTCCCATGCCAAACGGTGGTTAAGGTCGCTCCCAGCGGGATCGATCAGTTCGTGGCCTCAGATGAGCATAACGATCCTGCGGCATTTCCAAGAAAATCGAAAATTTTCGATGCCTTTGAGCTATCTCAGCAACATAAGGCAAGAAAGGGACAAATCCCTGCAATCCT